AAAAGAAATGAAAATCAATTGGTAAGTTGCTCAGCAACAGTCTTAAGGCTTTTTTCTGAAAAATTAAAAATTTTCAATATTAGAGCTTATTTTGAATAGAACTTTCTTCACAGAAATATTTTGTTATTTGATATTTGCTAAGCTTAACACAAAGCCAATTTGGGTGGTGGAGGACTGGAGTGAACAAGATTGTGTTATGCTGATCTTCCAGAAGAGTTTGCTTGCCTATATAATCAGCATTTGAAATCTGAGCTTTTACTTGGGTTTGAATAATAACCTCTGACACTGGTGGAAAATTTATAACTGTTTCAGCTATAAAAAAAGCATTTTTGATTTTTTTTATCTTGCAGTCACACGATATGAAAATCTTTTTGTTAATATGGCAATGAAGTCAACAACAATCTGAACAATGTAAATAGTGTAAATATTTTTTTTTATTTAATTTAATTTTAAATTTAATATCTACTGAATTTACTGACATTGGCTTCCATGACATACAAAATTTGATAAATTATAAAAAAAGAAGACCCTACCTTAACAAGAAATTTTGTGGGTGTGTTTGTGACATGTAGATTCTCTAGATTATTAATAGTTTATCTTTTTTGTTTTCAAAGTTTAAACCCAGCCTATTAATAAATACGTAGGTTAGCATTTCACTTACACTATGATACTCTAGTTCCACACTTCAATCTTTGGCCATGCATTGGTTTTTATATATTTTTTATTACTTCATAATGTTTCCTTCCTTGTTTGAGAAGAATGAAAATATCTTTGATATTGATATACAACAACTAAATTATTATTAATCCATTAGTTCATCTACCATAGATATAATCTAAATTATTACTAATACATCTACCATAGGGATAATCTAATTCATTAGTTCTATCCTTGGACTTGTGTTATTCCTAATTTTTATCAACGACCTTTCTGATGCCATACATGCTTACAGGCTGATCGGTTCAATTGGGTCAAATTGGCAGCTGTTCTAAAAAAATGGCCAACAATCTCTAAAATGAAACTGCTCTCTTTTAATTATTTGAGATTACACTTTTTGCCTTCTATCAGCATGGCTGGTGCTAATCTCCAGGAGAGTAATTCATTGTGCATTTTCAGTTTAACGTTTTCTGCTGACATGAAGTGGAAAGATTATGTTGAATCAATTGTTATGTCTATTGCTAAGAAAGTTGGTTTACTGTGTCATGCTTGACAAGTTTTCTCACCAGAATTTATCATACATATTTATAAATCTACCATTCATCCTTGCTTTGAATATTGCTGTTATGTATGGTCTGGTGCTTCTATGTCCTCACTTGTGGAACTCTCTTCCAGCTTCTTGCTTTCACTCAACTATGAATTTCAAAAATTTTAATGAAATGTCAATCATTATCTTCTGTTTTCTTCATTCCTATTCTTTTATTGTTCTCTTCACTTAAAAGTGTTTTTTTTCCTTCTTTTTCTCTCGATAACATGCAGTAACCCTTTGCATCTTAGTGGCTTTATTGCTTTACTTGGGGGGAAATGATTAAAAAAAGGGATAATGAATTGTTGGGATTATGCATACTGTTTTTTATTTACAACTTTATATTAAATGGATTTATGCACTTCATTCAGAGGTCATATACAAGAATTTAAATTATTGTAGATTACCGTCGTTTGGAGTGAAAATAAGCCTATGAAAATAAAGTTACTTCAGCATGTCAGATGTAAGGCAAATTTTTTAGACTTGATTTTGGAAAAAATAGTATTTTTATCAACAGAAAAATTTTTTGTCCTTGAATAACAATTATTATTTCCTATTTGCTTACACCTAAAAAGTATGAAACTTTCCATCAAACTTTGCTTTTGTGATCAGGATAATGATATTTCTGAAATTGACCTATTCCCATTGAGAAAACTGGTGAATGTGAACATTATTATTCATGCAAAATGGGAACAAAATAATATATAATTGAAAAGTAGCATTTATTTAATCTAGGATAACACAGAAGAGAACCCAGCTAAGCATGACCAACCCCAAAGACCCCCACCATGGAACAAGTGAATGATTGCAACAGATCTCAGTGATTGAACCAGTGAATGTAGAGAGCTATGTATGATGGAGATGCTATAGAAGGTGCCACTCGAAATTATAACAGAGTCAGTGGCAGTCTGTTACAGTTTCATAACTGAATTCTGCATGTCTCATTCCATATTTGCTGCAGAGGAAGTGTATGGGTCACTTCCTGGCAGGTTGAGGTCCACTTTAAACAAATTCATGCCATTGGCACTTTCTTCTGCACTGATTTTTTTTCACTTCCAACCAACTTTTGTAAAGCCAAATGGCAATAGAGAATGGATGACAAAGATGGCTTTAGTGAAACTGGAAGCTTCTAGTCCTGAACCTGCATGTTAGAAGCGAATTTAGTCACCAATGCTATCATCATAAAAGAAGTGATCAGCAAAGAAGAAATTAAATTCTTGGCTACCAGATAAAGCTGACGACACAAGAGAGACCACAAAAAATTTAGAAGTCATTAGTTTTTCATGATTTATGCTTATACTGTAAATTATTTTAATACATCAACCTCCAAATATAGTCTCCCATCATGTTTTCATTATACCATCATTGGTAGCAGTGTTTAAGTTCTAGTATATCCTGATGGAAGTTCTCACCTTGTTTTTATGAGTACACCCCATGTTCTCCTTGAATTTATCAAGATGAGTATCAGGAATATGTACTTTGAGGGACATCTTGCAGTTCATTTTGCCATAATTCTTTACCAGGATCTCAACAAGTTCCACATATTTTTCAGCCTTGTTATTCCCCAGGAAGCCCTGAACCACTGTGACAAAGATGTTCCACACTGCTTTCTCAGTCCTAGTGAGTTTCTTGGCAAATCTTTTGCACTCTGTGATCTACTTTGTGGTCTGGCATCTTTGACTCTTGCCACAGACAGCTTAAGGAAGAAGTCTTGAAGGTACTTGAAGGCTGCAGACTCTCCTTATCTGGAGCTGTGACAAATAGTTTCATATGGTCCAATTTTAAGTGCATTGGAGGAAACAATACTTTCAGGGAGTCAAACAGTGGTTCCCATTTGACATTGTTACTCCCCACAATGAACTCAGTCCACTGTGGCCAATCCCACCTGTAGTAGTGTGCCATGTTGTCTCTGCTATCACAAAGGCAGATATAACATGGAAACTCAGTAAAGCTGCCTTAGAGTCCTATCAGGAAGGCCATCATTTTGAAGTCTCCGATAACCTCTCAACCATACTCTTCATATTTCAAGGCAACTAGTAGGATCTTGACACTGCTGTATTCTTCTTTCAGCTGCACCAAGTGAGCCAGGGGAAAAATGGATTCATGTTCCTGTTATGAAGCAGCATGGCTTTGAGGCTCCTGGATGAGTTTTCAATGAAGAGGCACCACTGGCTGGGGTTATAGGTGATTCCAATTCCCTCAAACAGACCTGTCACATTTTGCGGAAGCAAAACCATTTTGATGGGTGAAAAAGCTTGAAAAACACTAGTGACACTTTCTCTGACCTGCAACTTACACACTTTCGTCTAACAGATTCCACTGCTAGAATCTCGACATAAAAAGTTCAATATTGGATTTTGTGAAGCCAAGATCTCTTATCAGGTTTTTGAAGTTTTTTGGTTGGGGTAGTATGGATTTCTCTCCTCAGCTGCACCCCTGTAACCTGGATCAATGACTTCTGAATCTTATTCTGAACTGCTATTCTCTTCTGAAGATGGCTGCTCTCTTTTTGGAGGAGTGGGTCTCTGGCACTCAGGGCAGTGTGGCACTGCTGGATGATAGAAAGTGTGGATATATGTTAGCAGGTTCATTCTTGCCAGCTCAACACTTGGGAGGAGAAACAATTGCTTCAGGGGTAGTTGGTTCCCTCCAAATTCATGGGATTTTGAATTTCATGCCTCTATCTCTCCCCTCTGTGTCATCCTGCAAAAGAGCAAAATAAAAATATAAGTATAAAAATACAAATATATTTCACCCAGTGCTATTGTAAAATTCTAAAAAATTGCATTTTTTATTTTTGAAATTTCTAAAAATCGTGTGCTGGATATGTAAAATTCTGATTTTGGACTTAATATAGCAAATGTCACAAAAATATGGAATCTTGAAAATGTCTCTAATATTCTATATTTGTAATATTTGCCAGTAATCAAATATAGAAAAGAGCCATGATGCTGTAGACACTAATGCACAATTCTTGAAACATATTGAATACATCATTTTCAATAACATGGGTTTAAAAAAATAAAAGTAAAAAATATTTAAATTAAAATAAATTCCAAAACTTTGACACTTAAAAATTCCACTATCCAAATAAGCAAAACTTTCCATCTTACTTCCTAGATTTCTTTTGTAGAGTTTACATGTGAAATGAGATGCACAGAGTTTGTCTTGATCCCCAACTGGCATGCTGAAATATACATTGTAGGCCTCACACATTTTAACAGGTGTTGCTACAGAATATTTTTTTATTCTTGTCTTGATAAATTTATCACAGACATAACAAAATATGTCTACTGGATGCTTATAACCTATTGATGCTATCTGTAATGAATACATCTATCAACAGTAACTTGTTTGCACTTGGACAGCGAGAAGTAAACTGAACTGTTGAGTTTATGTCTCTGTATTTATGCTGTCATCTTGAAACTTGTAGAAAATTCTCTTTCAGCAACTCAGTGCTGAATCTGTCTGGAATGTAATTGAAAATAGATTAGTTTCAAAACATCAATGTCCAGGTCACAAAAGCAAAGGTTGAAGGGAATAATCATTTCATAGTCATTCCCATTGATTTCTAGACAGAAGAAAATAGGAAACAATACTTACTAACCAAAGATAGAAAAAGCTCACTTTTTATTACATTGTATTTTCATCTACTAAGATCAATAAAAATGAACATTGGAATTAAAGAACTCATTAAAATTATTTTTCTTTTACTGCATTATTCTTAATCATATCTTTTACTCTTTTATGCTAAAAGTCTCATACAAGCCAGTCTTGGATGTCTTCCAATCCCAGATTTTTCATTGTCTCAAGATGTCAATAAAATATTTCGCTCTGGACAAAGAATCACTCGTTGTAAGTATATACTGAAATTTCATCATATTTCTCTTGTATTCATTTCTATTGATTATATCTTTGTTTTAGATTTTGGGAAAGGTATGATTCTATCCATCTCTGCTCCCACCAGCTATTGAATTAAAGGTAGGCTCTCTAGCCTTGAATGGCATTTAGTCTAGGAGAATAAGTCCAAATTCAAAAGCATTAAGAAAACACTATACTGTCATTCCTAAGAAGTCATGGCAATTTACAGATAATAAAGAAAAGAAATCTGTGGAGGGTCATGGTTGCATACATTCTGAAGAGATAAGGCATCAAAAAAGAATAAAATAAAATAACATATATAGACTGTTTGTTTGTTTGCTTGTTTGTTTTGTTTTATAGCATATCAACCTCAATGGGCCATTTAATGCCAACAACTTTTTTTTCTTGGTAATATTTTTGTTTTGTCAAAAATCTATTTCTGGTAATATTTTTTTCCTCAAAAATGTATAGCTGGTAATATTATTTTCAAAAATGTATTGCTGGTAATATTTTTTTTCAAAAACGTATTGCTGGTAATAGTTTTTTCTTCAAAAATTTATTTCGGGTAATAATTTTTTACAAAGTATTTCTGGTATTAAAACCTATTTTTACACTTTCATAATGCTTTTTTACTTCAGTTTCAGGGTTAACTATTTGCCCATAGCTGGGACCCTAACAGGTTCTACCACCCCAGGTTAGGGTGGACCTGGGAACATCAGCAATTAAGAGGTGGTTCCATGCTCCTCAAAGCCTCCTGATCAGAGGCTTTGCTGTTGGATGTAGTTTATCGTCATACCCAGGACAGTAGACTGTTTGATTGTGTTGATTATTGAAGGAAATATTTACATTTTTTTTTATTATATATAATTTCTTTTTTTCACCCTTTCCTGGCTATTTTATTTTTTCAAAGTATCCGTTGTCTGCAAACAACTCTCCCATGATTATCTAATCCCACCAGTAATACCCATTTTCACCCTTGATAGAAATCAGCCATCTTTGCAATGATAAAATAACAATAAAACTACAAATAATGATGATAACAACTGTTTGCTGCTTATTATTATTCTTGTACAAATTGAATATGAATGTTTATGAAATCTTTTGATTCACTTAAAGCAGAATTTTATAGAATTGTAAATCAATTAGAAATATTTATAAAATATTTGGATTCTTTTGAAGCAGTATTTTATAGAATTTTAAATATAAGACATTTTAGATATTTATACTTATAATTAAAATTGATTATTATTATGTGGATTTTCTTGTTAATGTAAGATTGTAATTTAAGTGATAAAAATATGAATTCTTCTTTCAGGCTTATTTGAAATTTTATGGCTGAAAGACACTTACAATGGACTTCTTAATGCAGTTTATCTCTACAAATGTTTTCGTGCAAAAATTTGGGAAAATTCAAAATATGTCACCAAACAACTTGATGGAATTGGTAAAACTTTTATTTTTTTTAAACCTATTTTCATAACTGTCTCAAATTTTCAGATAAAATATTGTAATTATTCTATATATTTTTCAGAATATTGTTTTTCTGTTCGTCATTTTTTCTATAACAGGACTACATAAAATTACCTTGTGGTGGTTCTAACGGGACCGAAAATGGGGAAAAATACAGTTGTTTTTTAATAAAATCAATTTGAAAATACGATTAAGACACATCGTGAGAATGAAAGGGGGAGAACTCACTCACAAAAATGTAAACAAAAGAGCATAGCATGATGAAAAAGATGCGAACTTGTAAAACAAAATTTTATCGTCTAATGTTCATATTATTATTAAAGAGGAAAGATCAAAGTATTTTTGGGGTATTTTTTTTTACATTTTTAATCGTTCCTAGCACGTCTGAAATTTTCGTTAAAAATAATGTTTTTTTTGGTCAAAAATGGGCAGATAATCATTTTCAATCATTTTTTCGATTTGATAAAAAAAGATTAAAATCTTACTTTGATATTCTTTTAAAAGTCAATTATCATTTTTCAAAACTGATTTTAATAAAAACAGATATTATACTGTTTATTTAAAATATTTTGAAGCAAGCTTAACTTAGCTTCTGCGCCGAAAAAATGTAATTTGAAAATAAAACAAAGCAGGTCATAACCTTTTGCGTCGCTTGACAATTGACGAAAGGCACATTCATGATGTTTAGATAACTTAACGGGAGGAGAATTCTTTCTACGGATGGAAGAAAGTGAAATTATTTAAGTGAACAAATTATTTATCTTGTTACTTTTAAGGAAAACTTTCAGCGCTCTAATTTTTTTTTTTTTTTTTTTTTTTTGTACTTAGCTTTCATTTTTACCTTTACAATGCTTTATGGAAAATATAAAGAAATTAAAAAATACGACTGTTAATAGTGAGATTAAATTTCATAAGAAAAAGGTATCTAATTAATTTAGGTACCTTTCTTATGAAATTTTATCAGAAGTGTACATAAAATACTATAATTTTATGTACATTTATTACATTTTACTGTGTTATTTGTATTTCCATTCATTTTATTATTAATTTTGATATTTCATTTATGGAAAAATGTCATAACTGAGATTAATATAAAAATAAGATCATATAATTTAAAGTTTAGCAGTAGTTAAATTTCATAAGATGATACTGTTACTTGTAGGTACCCTTCTCAGTTGAAATTGAAAACTCAAATTAACTTCTCCATACGTGTTTCATAAAAGTAAAAGGGCTTAACAGCGGAGAACAATGCTGAACTCAAATAATGCAACTAAATTGTATTCTTGTTGGTCTTCCGTACTTGATAATTACTGTCTGACTATAAACACAAAAATTACATTTCTTAATTACCATGGCTAATATGATTGGTCCAAATTATACAATTTTCAAAGCGCTAGACAATGACAATCTCACACGGACATTTTGAAAGGTTGATGTTGCTTTTAACTAATGTTAAAAATATTTTTTAAATTCAATTTAAACATTTTTAAAAAAATCTTTTTAAAATTAAAGAAATAAGAAATAATTGTATTAAAAATTCAATTTTCATTGAAAAAATTTTTGCTTTCAGAAAATATTGTCCATATTCATAAAAAACAAATTAAAACAAATAAAAGCATTTGAAACTAAATAATATATTTGTTTTATTGAGTTTTGTATGTTACAATTCACAGCTGATTTTCAGGTACGTTGGCCAAAAAAAAAAAAAAAACTGAAAAAAAAACATGATTTGCATTCTTCAAAGCCTTGTGCTTTTAACTATTGTAATCACTAAAACCGATGGTCTGAATTTCTAGAGTTTTTCATAAAATTAGTTATGGGGTGTTAATAAATATAAAAAAAATATTTCTGTCATGACTTTAATAAAAAAACAAATATTTATAATAATTTCGATCATCTGTGAATAGTTTCTGAAATTTTCATTAACATCTGACAATTATTTTTTTTTTTGCAAGATTTTCCAAATTAATGTGTGTAAATACAAAAAAATGCGCTAAAAATTATCTATGTTATTTACTACCCCTTGTTGCAAACAAAGAGAAACAAGGTTTTTTTTAAATCAAAATTTAGAATATTCTAAAAGATGGAAAAATTTTAAAAAATAATTAAAAAATTTAGTCTATCCTCTTCATAAAAAAATAAGCATTTTGACGATAAAATTTTGTTTTCATAAACTTTGGCATTTTTTCATCAGACTATGCTCTATGTTTTAGCTTATTCCGTGGAGTGACTTAGGTTAAAAGACCCAGGTTGTTTTGTGTGTGTGTGTTCCTTTATATATGGGATCGGATTTCTTACATTTTTCAGCCGATAAAACAAACATCCACTTTTTTTTCGGCATGTAGTATTTCTTATTGTCTTGTGCAATTTTTTTTCTTTATTTACATTCAGAATGCTTTAAAATTCCATTTACAAGACAATTGTTTATAATAAAATTCTATTCACCAATCGATAGACTCATAACGATTGTAAACAATGTTTTTGTTTGAATTAATGTCTCTTGGATATGTTTGTTTTCTTTTTGGTCCAAGATTTATGGTAGGTAAGTATAAATATCATAATGATCAAGCTGAAGTGACCCTTGTGCAGAGTTGGAACAACCAAAGGAAGCTTTGTACTTACATTATTGTTGAAAGGTTTAAACATGGTTATGAGATGTTTATTTTCTTTTTCTTGGTCCAGAAGTTAGGGTAAGTCAGTATAAGCATTGTTACTATGGTCACACTTAAGTCAGCCTTGTGCTGAGTTGGAACAACCAAAGAGAAAACTTGACTTACTTCATTGGTGGAAGCTTTTGGAAGACACATGTAAGCACCATGCATTGGAAAGTGAGAAGAGACTTCATCTGTCAGTGGACTGGGGAAACTAACATTCCCCAGTGTGAACGTAATTACCATGTGTTTCTACATCTTGGAGCAAAAAGGAGAAAGAGTGGGAAATATTTGCTTTTTATAGACTTCAACATTGCTGCCTAATGACATTTGACAAAACCAAGTGTGGCAATCATATTTCCATTTTCTTTACTCTTAGCATCATGAAAAAATTTGTTTCTTTTTTTATTATCCATTATTATTATGTTAATTATTGATTTTATTTAATTTTCCCACAGATTCATTTTTTTAAGATCAATTAACAGAGCCTACACTTTTATGAATTACTTCCATTCATTGATTTATTCTATCATTAAGTTTACATCATTAATCATTTTTTTATAATTATTTAATGCTTGTTGGTTGATTTAAATTTAGATGATTAGATTCAATATTTTTAAATCTATTATATACTAATCTTCCATGACAGAATCTTTAAAGGAAACTTCAAAGTGTACTTTGAAGTTTTCTTTAAAGATTATCTCCCTTTACAAGATTATATTCCCTATATCAGTCAACTTTAAAATATTTAATTTGAATAATTTAAAATTGAAATATTTTACAATATTTTGACTTTCTTCAATCATTATCAATTAAGAACTTACATTTTTCTACTGCTTTTTTGCTTATATAAATTTATATTATATTATTTATTTGTTTCAACCTTGTTTTTTCATTTATTTGTGTGTTACGTTGCTTCACATGAAACGGTCAATTATCAAGAGGAAGATAAAACACTAGAGTTTAAAACCTAATGATCTGTCTTTTAATGCAAATCTGTTCCATTTGCCTCACGGAATGGCATAATTAAAACAAAGAATAGTGCACTTAGATCAAAGATTCTTCTATATTATTGGTCATATGCAATCTAATATAAACTATCATATGTTACTGGGAAATCAATTATGAATGCCCAAGTAAGTTCCTATTTCCTGGTGATACCTTAAAGGATAAGTCCAGTATGACAACCTGATAATCTCTTAGATTATGATATCATCCCAAAACAACAGTTTACTATCTTCCATATTTTTTTAAAATATGATATAAATAGCAGAAGAGTTACATTTATAATTTAATGACTCTTGTTATTTAGATTCTTTATTTTGTTCTATTTTAGGCCAGTTTCTTTCAAATGCATTAGTCAATGCTGGAATCACCACATTTGAAATGTTTGAACAAACTGATCCCAGAAAAATAGAAATGGTAATTATGATTTCATTTGTTTGCTTCTTTCTATTTTTTTGAACATGAAAGATAAATTTGATTGGTTGTACAGTATATTGTCTGTTGAAGCAATAATTGATATGAATATCAGTACAATTCATGTTGCCTTTTATTTAGCAGACAAAATCTTTTCACACCCAAAACTGAGTTTGATAATAACCTACCATTTTTGAATAGAAGTCTAAAGATGCATACCAGAATTCTTTGCTTCTACAACTTTGAGATAACTGACTTGAAAGAATTTTTGAAAATCATATATTGCATGTTAGCCATTGCAAGCCACTGATCCTTTGCTCTGGTTATATAATCACAATTATATTGAAGAGACAACCACATTGAAATTTAATTTTGTTGTAAATAAAATGCATTTGAAAGAAGGAATATTGTGTGTAGTATGAGTATTTTTCAAAACCTTTAAGGAAAAAATGTGTAGAAATTGATTTGATTTAAAAGATAGATAACACTGATATTAAGGTGGAGAATAATAACCGTTTATTCATTAGATGCATGTTGACAGGTTTTTCACTTCACTTATGATTTTAACTGGTCCAAAATGATTTTCTGTGATTTAAAACATGAGTTTTTTTTCAGTTGAATCCATCCAGTAGTTTTTCTGGCTCTACAGTCTGGGCACATACGCACATGGTTTTCCTTGTTCCAAAGATAAAATTAGAAAGTTTTATGATATCAGGTTGATACAAATATTTCCAGGAAATCTTTGGCACAGTGTTATGGAAATGTTAGAAGGGTCTTTCAGTCAACTAAAGGTCTTCAAAATAATTCTAAAATGAGGAAAATAAGTTCCATTTGAATTTGCAGAAAGGAACATTAATTATCCTTGTTTTTCTCTTTCTGCTTGACACAGAAAAATAATTTTTGAACAACTTACTGGGAATAAAAACTGGATTAATTACAAAAATCTAAAATAAAAAAAAATGTCTTTATATTCAGTGTAGCCTTCAGCATCTCAATCCAAATGCAATTTAGTGGCTGAGAGAGGTTTTTTTTTTTTGCATCTGTTGAGATTGAAAAAGAATACTTTATTATCTTTATTATAAATTGTCAAAACTACCTCGGAGAAAAAAGAACACTTACTGAACCATTTTACCTTCTTTTCTGGTCAAAGGAAGCAACTGATAATTTTCAGTGCATTATAGTCTCCATCATTCTGTTGCAAATCATTATAGAGCTAAGCTGGAAATTCATTTCTATATGTCATATGTCTTCAGACTTGTTACCTTCAGACTATCACTTGTTTTCCTCCTTATCTGATCAGAAGATAAAAGATGAAACTGGGATAAATATTATCAATAAATATGTAAGACTTAAAATGATTGACTTTTAACAAATAAAACATCTTTTTGCAGATAACAAACAGACATCCACCATTTGGAAACCAATTAAAAAGTACTGTATCAGGATTACCAAAATACAAACTCTCTGTTGACCAAGTAAGTCTTTCTCTAGCTATTAAAAAAAGAAGAATCCTAAAAGAAATTAAATTTAATTATTAATTATTTGTTCCTCATACAAAAAATGACTAATTTCCATCCAATCTTCAATTCATTGTGGAAAATATTTGGCTATTTCCCTCAATTGGCATCTTTACAAAATATTTAATCATCTAAAAATCATTCCAGTAGTTTTCCTTTATCCAGGTTTATGTGATATATTACAAGACCATCAGTAGATTCTGGTAGATGACTTGGAATATGGATAATCATGAACCTTATATATATATATATATATATATATATATATATATATATATATATATATATATATATATGTATATATATTTACTAATGTTCACCCAAGGACCACTCAGGGTAGAGGGTTACTGTATGATGTTGTATTTTAAGCGAAAGTAAGAAATGCAGTTTATGCGGTTCTGCAGGAAAGATAACATTCCTAAAATTGAAGAGGTTAAGATTGTAGTGTCCAGGAAAACATCCTGTCAAAAGTCTGTTCCACAAAGCAGTAGTACTTCTTTCTTACCAATGGAATACAAAGGGTATGTTGATGATCTATCCTTATCTATGTGGTATGGTGGGTTTTAATATAATATTACTTAGGAATTGGAAAGTTATCCTTTCAAAGACACTTACAGATTATTTGATGAGCAAATGGAAGACTGTAATGGATGTATAAGTTTCTGCCTATATTTCTGAGATGAGGTATTATGTACACTATTTACATTATTCAGACTATTGTCCTCATATTTGTCGTCATATTTATTACAACGTTTCAGCCATTGTATGCTCCGGCCTTCTTCATGTGGTTGGAATGTCGAACTGAACCCTTTTATTACAATGTTTCGGCTATTGTACACTTCGGCCTTCTTCAGGTGGTTGGAAGGCCAGAGCGTACAATGGCCAAAACGTTGTAATAAATATGGCAACAAAGATGAGGACAATAGTCTGAATAATGTAAATAGTATGTATAAGTTTCTAACTTAGTTCAAGTTTTGTTAGGCACTATCTAAATGAGGAGATGAAAAATACCAAATTTTTTATAATGTCTGTGTATAATGTCTGGAGTAAGACAAGACACCACTGTCACCAAATGACTGCCATTTATATTTACCTACCAGTCCATGTGGCAAGGGCAGACTTACTTGTCTGTCTTTATTGCTGGTGTACCCTCTAGGACAGTTCCTCATGCAAGACAGTACCACCTGTCCTACTCCACATGAACCCCCACCATGACCTGCTTTCCTGAGGCCACCAGACATCTGGGTTGGGGTCAGTTGTGGAGATGTCCTTGGGTATTCATGCGACAGATCTTGCATCTGTTGAGACAGGGTCCTCGGTGGCTATGATGTTCTCGTTGTGTGACATGGGCTATGCAAAGAAGACAGAGTTAAAATAACAATATATATAAGTTTATTTCTCCTCCCACTTCTTTAGTACCAATAGACTCCTGTGTTGTATAGGATTACATTCTCACCAAATTAGTGTCACTACTGTGGCTTGTGTAGCATGTAGGCTTTTATGGGGTAGAGTTGCCAGTCCCATACATCACTGGTTTTGAATTCAGAACAGTCTTTCTCCTAGACAAGTAAGCTATCCTGTGCTGGGACAGAAAAAATGTATACAAACTTATCCCATGGGTATTTCTATAAAAGTGAACACAATATCCATGTTGCTTTAATAAAATTGAAAAAATGATAGGCAAAAAGGATGAAAAGGATCATTCATTTGAAAAGCTGGACAGCTTAGAGGAAATATGTGATTTGCTGAACTGACCAACTTGATTTCAAATTACTTTTTACTTAGAAAATATATTTTTATGTACAATGCTCTGATTGATCAGAGCACTGTGATGGTATATGAGAATAAAGTTAATAAATTTAAGATTTTCATAATACAAGACAAAATGACTTATCTCCTGACAGAAAATGGATTTTTTCATGTGTATTACGTGTAAAATATCCCAAAAAGAAAAATGAATCGTATATTTAAAAAAACAATAGATCTTGGAGTCAGATACTTTCATGAGACACTTTTTTGCACCTATGCAAATTTGACCTGTCACTCAAGCTATAAAAAGTACTTAACAAAGCAACAGATCAGTGCAACTGTAATAACAAACAAAGGAAATGTGTGTTGGATTGTTTGATTTATGCCAGGCTGTTTGGTGAAAGAAATGAATTAGGGATCTTTATTCCAAGCAAGAAGAAATTGACTAAAGATTTTTGGTGATGGTGATTATTAATTAGTCTATATAGAAAGAGAAATCCCTACATTCTTGTCTATATTTGTTTCTCATGATATCCTTTATTGTAGATATGTTTTCTTAAAATATTTTTCAAAAGCTGAGTAGCCTATTACTTGTTTTCTACTCTTGTAATACTTATCTGGTTTTTATTCAGGATTTAAATGAAGGTAATTAAAAGTAAAATTTTAGAAATTAACACAAAATTTACTTCTATGCTTGTTTGTTATACTTTAAAGAATTCTTTTTCAGAATCCTATTTGTGGCAAACCTTATGCTGAAATTAAAATCCACTTGACTATATCAAATAGTGATCAAGTGAAAGAGAAATCACTACTGCCAGACACTCATACTTGTGCACTGATCATTGCTAATGCTGATAACCAAGTCATTTACAAAAGAAAAATTATGTGAGGATTTGTTCCTTTATAAATTTCTGGCATTAGCAGTTACCATTATTTATTACATTATATATATTCAGACTAAATTTCTTCTTGTTGTTGTTGTTATCATTCCAATATTTTGACTGTTGTACTCTCCAGCTTTCTCCAAGTGCTTTCCAATGTGGGTAACCTTCAGGAAATTTTGAACATTTTATTTAATCTATGGGGGGTAGATTGCTTTCATTCCACTGTCTGGGAGATATATCCTGTTATTCTTATTTTAGTATTGCTTACTTATTACTCAATTCCTGTTTGCACTGAGTCATTGGCAAGCCCAGTTGGGAATGGTAGCTATAACTAGGTGAAAAAGGATCACATATCTCAGTAGGCTTGTCAGATAAATAAATAATATATATAATAAAAAGAAAAAGAGATATGACAGTAAGGCTTCAATAGCAAGAGGTAGATTAGGTTTAATGCTTCAGGTTTAATGCTCAAAATAAGAACAATATGATATATCCATATATATATATATATATATATATATATATATATATATATATATATATCAACAGTGGAACAAGAATAATCATAGATTAAATAAATTAAATTAAATAAAATAGATTAAATAAAGATTTCAATTCAAAATTGACTGAAGGTTATCTGAATACACAAGCACCTGAAGAAGTCTTGGGGTTGAAACAGTAACAAGAACAATAGTCTGAGTGTAAATAAAGTAAATAGTGGAGATTTGTATTTAAAAAATTTCATTATCTTAGTAAATAATTCTTCTGAATTATACTTCATCTATATTTCAGTTGGTTTCTATCCATATATTTTGCAGCTTCCTAGTTTATTTTGTATACTTAATGAAAGTACCTTGGGTTGATGGACTATTTTTTATTTGAAAAACATGATATAAAGATAAAAAAATGTTTTTCTATTTTAATTTTTTGACATTGTAAATGCTAGAAGGCATTTTAAATATATATATATATATATATATATATATATATATATATATATATATATATATATATATATTGTCTCTAATGAATTGAGTAGTTAAAAAATATCCCTTTCCTTTATTTTATATTCATTTTGAGTGTTGCTGTTTTATTTTTAGCATGTGAAATTATTTTCAGTAGTATTACCATACTAACTGAATAATATTTTTATTACTTGGTTTTTATATCATTGGGGATGTGCATTAATTAATTAGATTGTATAAAAGATTTAAAATACTAGCTAAAAACAATCATTGCTTATTCTTTTTACATTTTTGTTTAAATACAATGAGAAATTATCACAGTATTTTGGAAACAGCTACATATGTAGATATATTCAGTCACATACACACACATAATACAATGTGTAATGTTTTCTCCTGTCCACACGACCAAAAAAAAAAAAACATATTCAAAACTGAAATCCATCAAATGATTTCAAATATTAATTTACAATTTCTTGTGTCCTTTTATATTTGTTATCTGGAGAAAGATTTCTCTTTGTGTAAGATGTAATGATATGTTTCCCAGCTAAATATTAGTACAACTTTCAAATACTGAGGCAAGTAGACCCTTGTAAGATTGGTACAAGGCAATTTTGATCATTTCATAAGAGATGAAATTAATTCAGAAAAAAACATTATATTTCTTTGTTAATCAAACTATTACCTACAAGTATATTCTTAGAATTCATTTTACTCTTTAAAATTGTCCATGTGTAAACCATTGACAATACCACTCCCCAACACCCTGTCCTACTGCACTTTATTTTAGATTTTCATTGAAGTTTTTTTATATTTTAATCTTTCAGTCACTGTAGCTTGATAAAAACAAATGAGATGATGATAGTTTGAAAGAATAATTTTATAATAATAAGTTTATCTTAAAATTTCAAGCAAAAACATATCTTTAGTTTTTAAAATAAATTCCTTGAATAATTTATTGCTTAATGAAGTTAATTTCAAGCATTGGTCATCTTAGACACACAATTTTTCTATCTTGAAGTAAATCTTTTAAATAAATCTTCAGTTACTTGGAATTTGTAATGGATGAACAAATCAGAAAAGATTTTGTACATTTTAAAATGTGAATATAAATGGAATACAAAATGTTGAATTATTATCTGTTTAGTGTTTCATTTTTATCTACAGGGATAGGAGTTTGCTGAAGGAAAACGGATTCTCAAAGCTGTTGCATGTGAATAAAGCAAATAATGGAGAGGAAATATACATCAATCTAATCAGCTTTGATTGGGGTAAAAATGATATGCATTTATCACAGGATTTTGGAAATAACTACATATGTAGATATAATCAGTCACATACACACACACAAGTTTAATATATGATAGAAATATAATATAAAAAATGATTCAAGTGCAAGTCTCATTGACTGAACAAGGATTTGGGAAAAGTCTTGATATGTAGCTATAATTAGCATGTACCTAGTATTGATATTATATGTTTTAATGGTTCTCTCTTTTATAAACCATAAATGTATTAAAGTAATTACAATATATCATCAAATCAATAATTCATGAAAATCTAAAAAAGCTGCAATTCCAAATAAAAACTCAGTCTTAAAAACAATCATGTAACAGTTTAGTTACATATTCTTGGCTACTAGCTTTACAAAATGTTTGCAACTTAATCATATAATATGATGTATAATTTTGAATGCCTTTATACATAAAACTCTAATCTGGTCTTAACAATATTTACTGAATTTAAAGAGATGCAGAATGTGATAATCTCAATTTGATTTCAGATTTGAATACACTGAGCAATGAGCAGTTTAAGATATATACCGACACATGTATATGGCCAGAGCAGTTTAAAAGTAATGCTTCTTATTTATTCAAATGGAAACTGCAACACAAAGAATAAAATAATAAGAAGATAAAAGCATGGATAGAGAATATTTTTAGTTGTACAGGGTCAATCGGAATGTGGTTAGTCACACATGTCACAACTGCCCACTGCTTAGCCATGCTCACAACCATTGTTTAGTCTTCATAAATGTTCAAGCATTGATGAATGTCAATGGTTATAATTTTTTCCATATAAAGGAATTTAGTGAAACACCTCTGCTTCATACACATATCCATATCAGATTTTGCTTTTGATGGATGAAACAGTTGGAGATTTTCCAGTGATTTCAATTGTTAGTAATCTTGCCTGGATAAAAAGCCTGCATCTTTAAATGTTGATTTTCAAAGGAGATAAACTCTTTCCTTTTGAGAGATTGGTGCAACTCAGTCTTCCTATGTTCACTTCACTTTCTAACATATTAAACAGTATATATATATATATATATATATATATATATATATATATATATATATATATATTATCAATATACCACATAATACCCTTGAGTGCTTAGTCTTGGAGCAGGTAGAATGGAAATCAACATGTTTTAGTGGACTCAGCAGTTTTCAATCTGCTTGTCTGAATCATCTTCAAGAAGCGAGAGCAAGAACTAAAAGGTCAGCCAATCTAACAGTGATCTCATCTCACAATCCTCACTCTTGCTCCATATGTGGCCTCCTTTGTAAATCACTAGCAGGTCTTAAATGCCACTTAAGATTATCGCACAAAATTTCATAACAGAATCAACTAAGCTGTCAGATGCTCATACGTCGAAACCGACAGGAGAGTCCATTATATCATCAATCTATATCTGTATCTATGTGTGTGTGGTCCTTTCAGTATCTTTTATGCATTACATCTCTGAATTATGCTTGATTTCTTTAAAGGCTATATATCATAGAAGGAAAACAGAAAGACTGAGGATGGTGTTTTTCTTTACTGTTTTAATGCTACTAAAAATATTAAAAGATAAATCAAGCAACTTCAGTAGCAAAGTGAAAAGAATTTAAGCTTTTCAAATGATCACAATAGATGATGATATAATGTTATTAATTTTACTGTTGTGAACTCTTACATTATTATATTAAAAAACTTTCCTTTATTTTTTGTTTTTTTAAAATAGCTTTATTTTGTAAAAATATAATCTACTTTACATTTAAAGAAATCCGTAATAAAAGAATTTGCCATTTTCTGCTATAATATAGAGAATATAGAAAGCAAATGCTGGAAATAAAACCTTTGCAATTGATGCAAGTCATACCAGATAAACTAAAAATGATAAGGGAATGTTCGTTACAGTTTCACTGGTTTGATGTGGGGCACAGATAGAATGACTTATCCCTTCATTATAATATCTACTTATTTTATAAGGATGAATTCTAGAGTCAATGCAAAATCCTTGGTAATGCTGGAAGTTGTGATATAGTTTGTGGTTTTGAGTTTTATTCTTGGCTTTACTTATCTCACTGATTTACATAATATATAATCAATATATCCTTATATAATCAATATATTCCCTATATAATCAATATATTCCTTATATAATAAATATTCTAACATTACGAGACTGAGATTTATTTTTTTCTTTTACAGTTGGTATTGATATTGTTGCTTCTTTTAAGCCAATGTTTCTAAAAGATGAAGCCAACAAAGAAAAGGTGACCAATTTTGTTTATTTGTCAAGAAATTGCTATTTTTACCTTTCTGTATATGATAGAAAACATATGTCTATAAAGGTGAATGTATATAAATTTTGATCAGCCTCAGTTTCTTCATTAATAATGACTTTTCTTACTTTATTTCTGCAAATAAATTTAACTGTTTATTCACATATAAAAATGCAGTGCATATCCACACAAACATATATGCAAACAGACACACAGAGTTATCAATATATATAAATTGTGTGAACCCTAGATATATGTTGTAATCACTACTAATTCAGCCATAATAAATTTACATCTAGGTTCATACAATCTCACCATTTTTAGCAGATTTTCTGTTATCACAATGTGGAATATTTAAAAACAAAGATGATGAAAAGAAAAAGAAAAATAATATAGATGAATGTGACTAGATTGCAAAAATTTATTTAAAAAATTTTGAAACTACCAGTGTCTCTCATTCATGTGAATGTGTAGTCACAACAATGTCAACAAACCTAATCCAATGAAGTCCTAATGGATGAAAAATATCACAAATAAACTATTTCCATTTTGTCTCACAATTTCCTCTAATCTATTCTGGATATATAGACATATATATCATTATCTCATATATATCTATATATGATAAAAATATAGTTTTATGGTATACTTTGTTTATAGGCTAAAGTGCCTAATGTCAGGTATAAAACATGTAAATATGAAATATAAAAATGGACACTAAGGTCAACACCCAGGAGTAACAGTCTGTTTCATGCTTAAATGCATTCTCTATATATACTAATATTTTTATTCAAAAAATATTTTATATTATGACACAGAAATTTCTATGTTTTGTTTAAATTTGTTCCATTATCAAGAGATGTTGGGTAACTTTTGATGAAAATGCTTTACTTTTGAAAACAGAATTCTATTTTATTAAAGGTTTAAGAAGGAGGGAGAATCAAGATTTCAAAATTTTATGGATATGTCCTGTTTGACCAATCAAAAGACAGGTCAAAGCTAAAGCAGAAAAGTGAAAAAATGTAGTTTAGAGGTTTAGGTGTGTGTGTCTGTGTTATTCATACTTGTCTAGATGAGCTGTCATTTTTAGACATGTTACCATTAGTTCAGTTATGAATATAATTTTAAGATACAATGAAATGATCAACAATAGGTTAATTTTAGGATTTGTTTATTAAACATAATGATAAAATTTTTAAATAAACACTTAAACCTAAATAAAAATAATAGTAATTCCAAAACTGAAATCAATAATATTGATAATAAATTATGTAATTGTAGAAATCCCATAAATTGTCCATTGCAAAATAAAGTCTTACTAAATCTATTGTTTACGAATGCATCATTTCATCTACTGAAAAGCTAGATGCTAAGAAAGTTTATATTGGAAGCACAAAGAAATCTTTTAAATGAAAGTGGTATCAACATATTTCTTCTTTTAACCATAACTGAACATCCCTCTCAAAATATTTTTGGTATTTAAAAGAAATCAATAAAACCCCCACCGTAAAATTGAAATTATTTAAAAAAATGAAAATTTTCAAATAAACAAAATCCTATTGTTGTATATATATCCTATTATATTTCTCTTCATGCTTCTTCTTTGCTTTTACAATACACTCTTCCTTACATTTACGATTCATTTGCTTTTATTTCCCTCTTCTTCCTTTTCTTTATACATTTATGATACACTTGTTTTTCTCTTCTTCTCTTCACCGTTCTTCTTCTTCTTTTCCTTCTTCTTCCTTCTCCACGTCCTCCTCCTTTCTATTACACTTAATGCCATGTGTTTGATCGTTGTGTGTTTGTTTATTTATTTTTGAAAATAATAATGTAGTGTTCTTTGAGTTTATTTTTTTAAATAAAAAGCGTTAGGTGGTCAGTTGATAAAAAATTGCCTGATGAGACTGTAAAGTCGAAACCAAGGTCACGTATTCAACTGTCCTCCTGATTTTAAAAGCTCTACATGTTATTTTTACTTTTATTTTTTCACACGTGTATTGAGCACTTTTTAATACAACTGTTTCCTGGTCAGTTTCAATTCTGGCCATTAACCTTTTATGTGTATATATATATATATATATATATTTTAATAAAGGTGCAATCAATTTACAAATTCATGAATTATTCATACAAAAAACAAATACAAAGGTTAATGATTTAATTGGCGAGAAATCCATCATCGCGAACAATTTAAATAATATACAAAAACCCCGAATCTGTTTATGAATGAAAAGATCCTTGTTTTTATAAATTCCTGTTGCATGAGTTATTATTTTTACAAGCTTTCGTCTGTTCATACAGACATCCTCAGGTATGGAATAGATTTTGTTCTTGTTTTTTCTCTCAGTAATTAAATCATTAACCTTTGTATTTGTTTTTTGTATGAATAATTCATATATATATATATATATATATATATATATATATGTATTAATTCTTCTTAAGTAATTTGTTCTTGTACTATCACTTGTCTTTTCAATCCCAAGGTTAGATTGAATTTTATATATGTGGTTAATAAATCCTGAATATGAACAAGGCTATTTTATGTATATCTTTTTGCAGATAAATAAATATTCATTTTACACAGATATATGTTTATAAGCTTCTGGCTAATTTACTTTCTAATTTCTCACACACCCACTTTTTCCTTTTCAATCATATAAAATATTTAAATTCATACTTTTTGTAAATTTTTGCTTTATATATGTATTATTTTTTCACAATGTAAAAAAATATAATTAAAATTAAATTTTCTGAAATGTTTTCTTTTCTATATTTCAGTTAAACTATTCCAGAAATAACTCAACATGTTCTCAAAAACCTGGAAAACATATTCAACCATCAGGTAATCAAATATTTTCTGAAACTTTTATACAATGTTCTCATGCTTCTTCCTTATTGTTTTTAAAGTCAAGTTAAAGCAAAGACTGAATTTCAAGTATTCAACTCATTATAGAAACATTTGATAATTTCAGCAGGGTAAGAAAGACATTACTTTTTCAAATATGTCAACTAGCTCAGCTTATTCCCAGCAGCATGAGGCACACAGATGATTCCAATGTTATTAATCCATGTAACAGATTCCATACAGAATTTTCTTTTTATGGATTGTACACCTGGAGAGAATGTAGAATAGATTGCTGAAATGTTACAGTAATAAGAAAATCAGCATAAAGTTCCTCTTGGAATCACCAAAGAAACTTAAGCATACATACTCCCGCACCATACACCATTGCAAAATCAGTTTTCATGTACTCCTTTGCCCAACTTACATGATTTCTCTTTTTGATGTTTATTTTAAGGTGGTAGTTTAGTAACTTCCATATCTTGACCCAATGTTCTTAATATTCATCAGTCTTACAGTCATATCACATTGAAACACCGATTCTCATACAATCACCAAAGTTAAGCAACTTTGAACATGATCAGTACCTAGATGGGTGAACACTTGGGAATATCAAGTGCTGTAAGTTTGGATGTGTGAGTAGTGTAATAACAGCTTGGAACTGGAAACTGGAGAGCCAAATTCCAATTCTAGTTGGATTCATTATATTCACTTATGTGCAAAGGTTTGAATCCAACTCTTCTCCTCCCAGCTATGGGTTAATTAATAGGACTTGTATCAGTAATCTTAAGATTCATCTTTTCTGTTCATATTTGCAATACCAGTCTCTTCAAATATTTTCTTGATGATCAATTCATTTTTCTTGCTTATTATCATTTTAATTTTTATCAAATCCTTTGTTGTGATATTTTTAAAGCAATCTTATATCTATATTTGAAATTCCTAATAGATAAGTTTTTAATGATTTGTCATCATAAACATGGTATGTCGAGTCTGAGCTGTAAAGGTCTGAGCTGATGTGACTAAGTTACATTTGTTAGTCCCACACAATTACTAATAGCTAAGTCTCAAGAAAATGTGATGTACTTCCATTCTGTTGGTCATTATAGAGCAGTCTTTAAGCTAATTGTATGAAGATTTTAAAAGATGGTGCAGGCTTTTAAACTGTTGCAGCCACTAATTCTAGCTCAACTAAAAATGTTCACATATAAATGACAGATTGTCATCGTTTGTAGAGCGAAAGGAAAGAAGAAAAACATTAAAAATTTTGCTATTGGGAATTGTGTGTGTGATATGCATGTCCGTAAAAGTTCAGTCATCAGTTACCCAGGGGAAAGAAGTCCTCCCCAACAGGGATGAATCTCATGTAGGCACTTCTACCTACTGCATGCTAGGTTGAAAAGAGAAAAAGGAAAAAGAGGAAAGTTATGTCTGGGCTTTTATAGTTCTGAAACAGTACCAATGGGCATCTAGGTAGACTAAGTGAGGGTAATCCCCATAAAACTAATTGTATATTTTTAATAAATGATACAGGCCTTGATTGAAGTTAAAATCCTTTTTTGTTTATTTATTGTTTGATAGTTAACACAAGTTGTCAGCATCGATGTCACAACAAAAAAGAATGTGCCCACCAATGCTGTAAAGTTGGTTTCAGAAATAAAGGAATCTCACAGAAAAGAAAGCAAATATCTCGGAAAAACTCTACAACTCCTGTAAGCCAACTTCCTAAAAATAAACTGTCCACTGGTCAGAACAGCCTCCATTGTTATATTGATGGCCTGAAAGAAAAAATGAAAAATATTATAGATACACCAACAGTGAAACGCTTAAAGGTTTGTATTTTGGTTATTGGAGAATTTAGTAAACTTTTTAAAGGTAAAGGTATTAACACCTAACAAAACATGTTGATAAAGAAATTACTGGGAGTTAATGTGTTTAAAAGCAAGCAGAAGTTTGTGAATAAAGTACTCAAAAAATGGAAAAATATTGACCAACAATAGTTAATAGAAAAGAGCTGAAAAATATGACTTATAATTAAGATTTGATTCTAATGAAACATTGATAAAGTGTTATATACTTTATTTACAATATCATATTTATTATAATGTTTCAACCATTGTACTCTTCGCAGTGGTTGGAATGTTGAACTGAACCCTTTATTTCACTCACTGGGGTAGATTGTTCTAGTTCCACATGCCATGATTAAGTTATCAGTTATCTTCTGTTAATCTCCCTCTGAAAGTTCGTCACTGAACTCACACTCTTTGGATCCTGTCACTGGATTTAACCAACACCTTTATCCACTGTACCATGTGTCCTTGAAGGCATCTGTGTATGAATTTCTGGGTATTATAAACCTAATGTTTTCAGCAACCGTTTTTACCAGTGCTCATATTGCAATTTTTGTTTTTATCATTACATGTTTTTACCAGATCTCATATTGCAATTTTTGTTATTATCACTTTTCTCTGGCACTCCTTATTACTGGTTCCCATATTGTATTCTTTTCTATGATTGGTCAGCTCAGGAGATTTTTGTGGCCTAGCACATGTACTGATTCCTTATGTTTACGAATTTTCCAATGGTGTTCTTTGTATGGCAACAAAGATGAAGACAATAGTCTGAATAATGTAAATAATGTACATAATACCTTATCTCAGAAATATAAACAGATACTAAAGTGTTATATGTTTTGCGATCTGTTCCAGATTACAAATGAAACTCAGCAGAAAGTGATTGATCTTAAGCAGTTTGCTTTTTGTCCAAAGCCGAAAATAAATACTGATGAGCCCACTGTACCTGCCACCATTTCAGCTGTTACCCCTTTGGTGAGACCTGAATCAAATGACAGCAGAAACTGTGGCTTGCCTACATCTCCAACTGGCTGGAACAATCTGCATATTTATCACAAGACAAGAGAAAAGTTTGCATATGAACCTGGTATTAACTATTTCTGATTGCATAACAAATTTTCTAACACTGAGTAAAAAATAAATATTAATAAGAAGTTTTTTTTTATTGAGGTTATTACTGTTCAGTAAATTTAAATTTTTGATTATGAAATAAAAACCTGGTGATGTTATTATGTTTGTTATTATGTATATAAAATGCTTTAATCTATTTCAGATAACAATCTTAACAGGCAGATGGAAAAGACATTTAATGAATTTGACAGGAGGTAAAGTAACCAATTCATCCGCATTATGAAAAATGACCTTGTGTAATGTTTTACTTTTTTTTAGTATTTGTGGGTGCACAAAATAAACACCTACATGTACTTTTCTTTCCAAATTTGAAACTGTTTCAACTGGAGATTACTTTTCTTTAACTTTGGTCTACCCATTCTCTCCCGAAAATTTCTCAGTATCAACGTAACATCATTTCTATATCCACCTGTATTAGTAAAGTTACTCTGTTCAACTTTACCATTTCCTACTTTTATCTCAAATTACTTTCAATCAGAGGATCTATATTTTCCACTTTTTACTCATTTTTCCTATGTGCATACCATATGGAAATGATTCCTCTTTTTACACTTAAAACACTATTTCCCAAAGCCTGGATACTTATTTTTGCTCTTTTCATATTCCTTATTGCAATATCTGTATTCAAGTAAACTTTTAGTAGCACTATAAGTCTCCATACTCTCTTTGGAGGCATTAAATTTTTGTAAGAACTCCACACATGCTTCTAGATTCATATTGTGAGCTCGATGCTGCTCTAGAATTTTACACTTGTACGAGATGTCAAACATTCATTCAATCAGTCTTAGCACAATTAGCTTGTCTTCAGTAGACATTTGATCTGAACCTATTCTTTCAAATTAACAATATCTTAATGCTTCTTTCAATTGCTGTACATATTGCATCATAATTTTGTTCAGTCTCTGTCAACTTTTGAGAAATTTAGATCTTTCTGCTATGACCAATGTCTTTTGGTCATGCATTTGCTTTTATGATGGCAACAATTTCTTCCTACACTAAATCTTCCAGCACTTTGGAATAGACCATGACAAAGATTTTTTTATGGCCTCACACCCCAAAACAAATCCATAACTTCATTTTCTCCTCCCCTAACTTTAGTGTCCTTTAACTTTTTTTTACTCTTGCTGATGCTGCAAAATACCTTAGCCAGGTCTCCACATATTTAGAATTCTCCATCTTGGTTAAGATGACATATTGTTATGATAGGTATTCTCTCTAACAGATGTAGTGTCATCAAGGGAAGGTAACTCTTCCATAGCTATAGTGATACTGCCTTTTATATTATACCTAATTTACATATCACTACAGATACTTTTAGTTCAATTAATTTCTCTAATGATGAGATTTATAGGGGAATTATTTCATTATCTGGACAAATATTTTGTAAGTGGAAAGTGTATTTTTATACAAACATTTAGTGTATACCTTTTATACCTTTTGATAATGTTGGTTCTTTCTTATCTTTAGGCAAGAGCAAATTCTTCCTTCTAGCCCAGGTGAAATACCATTTTTTAATGAATCTCCCAACGAAGAACTCTATGGAAACTTTTCTCTTGAACTACCAATATTGGCTCAACCATTTAACAAAACAGGTGACATTCTGCCTTCTGAAATTGACACATTCTGTAAACATGAAGATTTTCCTAAGAGTCAAGTCACTCTTCAGCCACAGAAGCAACATAAATATGGCCAGGTAGTTGCTTGGCTCTCTCAGGATTCTCCCAGACATCCTCTTGAGAAAAACACTAACAGCCAACATGATTTTGGCCGGTAAGTTTTTTTCACTTTCCTTTTTATAATTATTCTTCTCATCCATTTCTCTTTCTTTTTTTTTTTACAAGTACTTCCATCTGAATTTCTGAGATTAACAATTATTCTACATTAATCTGTTTTGTTAGTCTCCCCATCGTGGTGGTTGTTAATATAAAACACACTTTATTCATTGCACCCTCCAGTCTTCTTCACTGGTTTTATTATTGATAACCTGCAATTTTCAAATCAAATTATTTATTCAATACGTGATGCTAGAAGAAATCTTGTATCAAGTAATTCTGCATAGTTCCTCCCTCCTTGTGTTGTTAGCTTTTGATTTTTCCTAATGAAAAAGGATATGAGTTTCTTTGTTTAACCGAAGAATATGAAATTATATGCGCACTTTACCAACACTTTGTCCCTTGTCCTGTTGATTAAATTTACCAATGTTTATTACTTGTCAGTTATCTCTGTTGAATACACTAGAATTTATATAATTCAACTTAGAATATCTGAAAAAAGAATGAAAAGTAAAAGTTACTTTAAGCAGAACATATATATTCATACTTTGAACACTCACATCTCTGAACAAGTCAAAGATGTTTTGGTTGATCACTTATTCTCTAACTCTCATGTTTTCACAAAATGTTGCATGATTAATGCATTTATTAATGTCCTCCTTTCTTTTCATAGCAGAGATGCTTCCCAAATGGACACATCATTCACTATAAAAGGTGTGTCTGTTTTCAAATAAATCCTATCCACTTTCTAACAGAACAAAAGAGAATTGAGGTGAAATTGCCTCTCAGTTGCTCAAGATTTATTATTAGTTCTTAGCATCTTTGAATAAAAACAATGGCCATTGCAATGATAGTTAAAAAGTAGTTGC